CAGCGATTCAATTTGTTTGTTAAAGCCATCCCACTCGTGTTATTTCTGTCCTAGCAACACTAAATATTTAAGACACATATGAGGAGATAAACATGGAATGGAAAAAAAACAAACAAACAAAGGGGAAAAGGAGATAGAGTAATGAGTGTGGGTTAAGGCGTGACATTGTAGAATGTGAAGACATGAGTTTGAAAGAGTGAAAAGGTCAAGAGAGTAAAATTTAGGGAGCTTCAATATTAAGGAATCCAGGAGACAATAATGAACTGGCAAAAAAGACAAGAGAAAAGTCAGTAAACGGAAGACAATATGATATCCTTAAGACCAAAGGACAAAAGTATCTTAAGTGCCATACTGGGCCAGAGGACTGATGATTGACCTTTGAATTTAGGAAGGTGGAGGTCAATGATATCAGCATTTTTGAGAACTCGGGGGAAAGTCCTAATGGTGCAGTGGTTATTCGTTTCACTGTAATCCACATGGTCGGCCACTGGAAACCACCAACAGCTTGGTGGGAGGACAACTGTCCTGGAAACCCCCAGGAGGACACTGAAGTCAGCCCTGGCTCCATGACAGTGAGTGTAGTATGGAGGGGGAAGCCTGATCCCACTGGGTTAACAAACTTGAAAGTAAAGTTTAGTATAAGTTTTGCTTAGTCTTTTTTGTTTCTCTCTTTTTTAAATCACGTATTGGGAAACTTTTGGCCGTGGTGACAAATGCAACTTTTCAATCAGGCACAAAAGGTAACCCAATACAGCACCTGTGTTTCCACATAGCTTTGCCTGTTGTCCGTCTTACCAAGAGGAATTGACAAAGCTGTTTCCGGACTAAATAAAAAAGTAGCATAAAAACACAAATCTAAACAAATTCATTTCAGAAAAAATGTTCCAATTTTCTTGACAGCACTGACACTTTATGGAGTCGCTTAGTGGTTACGACTTGAGCTGTTAGTGGCAAAGTCAGTAGTTCAAAACCACCAGCTGCTCCCGGGAGACAGATGGGGCCCATTAGGAGTTAGGCTGCAGGTGTCCTCAAACTAGGGCCCACGGGCCACATGTGGCCCGCCAAGGACATTTATCCAGCCCTCTGGGTGTTTTTGCCCCGTTTGTTTTTTCACTTCAAAATAAGATATGTGCAATGTGCATAGGAATTCGTTTTTGTTTGTTTGTTTTTTTAACTATAATCCGGCCCTCCAACGGGTCTGAGGGACAGCGAACTGGGCCCGTTTAAAAAATTTGAGAACCCCTGAGTTAGGGTCTTGAAAACTCAAGTGCAGTCCTACCCTTTTGTATAGGGTTGCTATGAGTCAGGACTGGCTGGAAGTTAAGTTTGGTTTGGGTTTTAGTGAAACTAGGGTCCAGCTGGCATAGAATGGTAGACCCCAGAATCACTGCTAAATATGTTAGGCTGGGTTGACTAGAGATACTCATATGTGTGTAAGAGAGAGCTTTATATCAAGAAATCATTATATATCAAGAAAGCATCCCAGCCCAGTGCAGATCAAGTTCCCAAGTTGAGTACTAGCTCCTAAGTCTGTCTTCAGACTCACAGTCACTCACATATGATGGCACACAATACAGGGCTACCGCGGTTGCTGGGTGCAGGGTCCCATGGATCCAATGTTGGTGGACACAGCACAGGGCTCTGGCAGCAACCAGGGTCAGCCAGCAGGAAGGTGAAGACAGAGAAGGGGAGGGTCCCAGGACCCTTCTAATGAGAAGGCCATGCCCACATGGAGGCATCATCAGGCTATAGCCTGACTGACAGGCTAGATTCCATCCCTTCACTTTCATATCTTCAAGTTGACAGAAAATTCTGTAACTACCACAATATCTAAAATGCACAGGATGTCCACTGCAACAAAGAACTACATGACTAACAAAGGGCAGTATTGAGAAAACTAGCTCTCTATAAAATTATACACAATGAAACACAGGAAGTAACATCTAGACTTGGGTAATGAAATGTACTTTGTATATTCTAGATTAGAGGCCTTTGAGTTGATTTTCAACTCGGAGATCAGCAGCTGTTTCTACAGGACTGCTCATTCCCTCAACTGCCATTTAATCAATGCTGACTTGTGGCAACCCTATATGACAGGATAGAGTTGCCCCTGTTGAGTCCCCAAGACTGTAACTCTTTAGAGTAGAAAATCCTATCTTTTTCCAAAGGAATAGCTGATGGTTTCAAACTGCTAACCTTGCATTTAGCAGCCCAACTTGTGATCACTACACTCTGAGCAGCTCAGTGCATTCAAACTACCACCCTTTCAACTGGCAGTTGAGTGCTTAACTATTGTGCTACCTTGTCATTCCTTCATACTAGCTGAATGAACTTGGTAATTAAGTTAATCCCAAGTCTTATTCATTTTAACTGTTTAAAAAGGGGAACAATTAAAGAACTAATTTCAAAGTGACTTCGCATTTCAGATGATCATGCCTGGTGAAGGGGAAATGAAAAAGAAGGCCTTCAATAAGATGAATTGACTGTGGCTCCAACACAGGGTCCAACATAATTTTGAGGATGGTGCAGGCTCTGACAGTGGTTTGTTCCCTTGTATGGAAGGGTTGTTAGGAGGGCGTAGAACTTGACAGCACCTAAATGCTTAATGTGCTCTTGAAAACATGTATCTATGCACTACAATCCCAATGGTTTACAATGCTCGGCACTGTCTATGACATGAGCTAAAAACACTCATGTAAAAACCTGAAATGTAAAGTACATCTAATTTTTTTATTAGCCAACATGAACATACTCTGTTCACTGAAACCATTAAGGCTTAATCAAAAGGTCTAATCTATGAACTGGGTAATAACATTATTAGTTTTATTAGTCCATTGCTCAAAAAATTTTTCTCTTTTTTGCACCTTACAATTATTACCAATAAACTTCCCTGCCTTTGAAAACTGCCAACAGCAGTGCTCGAGTCCTTAGTCCCACGATCAGCAGTGATGGACTGAGATTCCAACTACACGTTAACTTAAGAAATTTGAGTGAGGACAATCTGCGCCTACATCTCTTTTGTGCATCTCATACTACAATGTTGTAGAACGCGATTTGTGGATGTAATCGTTCTCAAATGTTCCCTTGATGTCCAATGTTACCAATCATTCAAAACACTGTTATACATCAAGCTAGGGCAGGCCTTGTAGGAAGTGCAGGTAGTCCTAATGGACAGGCAGTTGGGCAATGTCCAACTCTTCAGACTAACAACTGATTGCACACACACTAGGACTGACTTCAGTGGTAATAACACCACGTAAGACCAGGCCTATAGTGATTTTATTCAGCATTTCATACCATCAGATAATTCGAATCCACCATCTCAACATACACCTGCACTACCTACAGTTCACATAATATATTTAGCTAAATATGCCATGCCACTCTAAATTCTAATCCAAAAAGTTCAGGAAACTCTAAATATGTATATAAAGATCATTAAAGCATACCATTATGTGTGAAATAGCACATGGGAAAAGATATTTGGCCATTTCAATGTTTAAGAACAGGATTTTGTACACAGTTAAAGGAGCGGATGGCATAAAATATAGTTCTGGCAAGTAGATGGTAAGAACTGTTCATGAGATGCTGAAAACTAGAAGACAAAGATCTAGAAGATCCCTATGAACTCATTAAACAAAAGCGTGCGCGAAAGCATAGCAAGAAAACTGCTAATGCCGTGACAGGATGGTTTCCATTCAAAAAGCTGCTCTTACATGTCTAACTGGGAGGAGCAGGAAGTGTCGACGTTGAAGCTACCCCAAAAAAACCAAAGAGGCGCGAAAAAACAAAATATCTACCAGATTATGTAGTTTTTAACCTCTAAGGCAAGTAAAAATCAGATTTATAAAAATACTGGTAATATAAGGCAATAATAAAAACTAAAGAGAGGTATTCAACTTGAGACGCTGGAATGTACGGTGCAAATATTTAATGTTTGTTAACTCCCACCACGGGACCCTTTCCGGATGGGTCTGGGGGAACACTGATGATTCAATCATGATTGCTAACAAGGAAAATTGTGATGTTATCCTACTGGGTATAAAATAAGCTATTTGATAAGCATGAATGGGGGAGGTGGGAACCTCACGAGCAGTAAAAGGGCAGGGCGAGGCATGAAGTTGCCCTTTAGATCCTAGGATTCCTGCACATTGAACCTCAGGGTCGAGGATACAGCCTACATATCAGAGGAGCAGCAACAGAACCAAGAATCAGAGCATGGAATAGGGCGGTGGATTCCCATCACAGAGTACTTTGGGCCAGGCGGCGGTTTGAATGGCCTGCTTCGGGGCACTTAATCTGGAAAGCTGAAGATGAGGAGCAGAGCTGGAGCCAAGAGCCTTCAGATGAGGCTTAAACCACAGTATGTCCTTTGGGCATCTACTAACCCTCTGAAAAGAGCTTTAACATTGCCTGATGTAAATGCCAGGCCAAGGAGCAGACGGCAGCCAGAGAAGTCCGTGGCCATGGCAGAGAAGAAACTCTCCAGAATAAACTGTACCCCGAGGACATCTCATCTGAATGCCCTAATAAACCCAACAAACAGTAACACCATCTGTTTGAGTTGTGTGGCCACTGCAGTTCATTATCCAACTCAGCAGTATAGAACGCAAGGAAATTAGTACTGTGAGGACAGAACATGGAAACCTGTACTAAAGGCAGTACCAAAACCATAAAACAGACCATATGAAACATCTGCAGACTATTATGCAAAAAAAAAAAAGTTAATACCGCACCCTTCAACTTTGCCAGTTAACAGAAATTCACAGGTTTCCATTTAGCCAATGTCAGAAATGGTTGACTACTTTTACCAATCTACTTTAGCACGATTTACAGACCCATTTTTGGTGAAGGTACCAACACACTATGCACAAAATAGAGCCACCTAAAAATCTGCAGCTATACTAATAGAAAAACAAGAAACTCTTTCAATTATGTTATATATCCTAGCTATATATACTATAATGTTCAAAGGAGACTTCAGCATTAAATAAACAATATCAAGTTTCACATGTTTATTATTCAGTGTAAACCCCAACACGACACACCAACATGATTTCGTGCATTTAGGAAATAACCATATCCTGGTTACGTGGAAAATTGTGCGGATAACTTCTGGAAGACCTTCATTCTAAGCAGCTTTATGGGAAACATTTCATTCAGAAGTCAGGGCCTTCTTTCTTCAGCTTGCTGTAATCCGTGTTCACAGACAAGAACTTGGAACAGAAAAGAGATAATCAACTCCAAAGACATGATACAGAAGTTTCAGGATTCTTTAGTTTCTAATAACAACTATTTTTTTTTTAATAAAAAAAAATATTGAACAACATAAAAACCACTCAAACAAAGACACCATAGTTTTAGCCCTTTCATAATTTGGTGGTGGGGGAGGAAGAGTCAGAACCTATAGAGATTTCCAAGTGATTAATTAATCACCCTTTTTGATGACATATGCCTCCAGTTCTTAAAAGGTACAGAATACCCAGAATTACCACCTCTACTCAGTTAGTTAACTGCTGTAATTTAGCTGGGCAAGACCTTACACAGCCAATTGACTAAAAGAGAATGTCATTTTTCCATCAACATTTTCATATCCTCTTATATAAGCTAATGCTTTACTGTGTAGTTTAACTTTTCAAATGGCTTACCTCAATGGCTTTTCTATTTTCTTTCTTTGCCTTTCACATCACAGTATTTCATAATAGACATAACCCAAATTGCATCAGTATCAAATTGAAACCCGATCCCTCCTGTTACATTTTTTCATTTTTATTATATTTTAATCATTTTATTGGGGGCTCGTACAACTCTTATCACAATCCATACGTCCATCCATCGTATCAAGCAAATTGTACAATTGTTGCCACCATCATTTTCAGAACATTTTTTTCTACTTGAGCCCTTGGCATCAGCTTCTTACTTTCTCCCCCTCCCTCCCTCATGAACGCTTGATAATTTATAAATTATTTTTTCATGTCTTATAATGATCGTTGCCTCCCTTCACCCACTTTTCTGTTATCTATCACCCTGGGAGGGGGGTTATAGGTAGATCATTGTGGATGGTTCTCCCTTATATCCCCCTCACCTTCCCCTTACCCTCCTGGTATAGCTACTCTCAATATTGGCCCTGAGGGGTTTATTGTTCCTGGATTCCGTGTGTTTTTTCCAGATCTTATCTGTACATGTGTACATGCTCTGGTCTAGCCAAATTGTTACCAACGGCTTTTAAATAATTGTTATTTTTCAGGTTTTAAATCTCTAAAACTTCTCTTACATTGTGCTGAATGTTTTTTATACAGCTAATTATTGCAGCAACACTATTCACTCACTCTTAGTTTTTTAAAAGGAACTAAAGATCAAGTTATATGGCTTGCCTAACACTGACCTAATAGAAAAGGCAGGATTGAGCCTCTAAACCAGAGGTTCTCAACCTGCAGGTAGCAACCCCTTTGCGGGGTAGAACAACCCTTTCACAGGGGTTGCCCAATTCATAACAAGCAAAATTAGTTATGAAGTAGCAACAAAAATAATCTTATGGTTGGGGGGGTCACCACAACATGAGGAACTGTATTAAAAGTTCATGGCATTAGGAAGGTTGAGAATTACTGAAACCAAGCACTTTCTACTACACCAAGCTGGACCATCAAAATAAGGAAACTGGGAATCTGATTTAGCACTCTACAGAAAAGGTGTTTCGAGCAAACTGAGTGTTCAAAACCCTTTAATGTGTATATACCTACATGGCAGAGATGGAGGCAATCACTGCTGATGACAGCAACCTTTATGGTAATCATCACCCTTTGCTGATCCCAGCTTCCCAATCATTCTGATTATAACTTGGCTCCAAATCTCTAAACATGTCTAGATGCTTGTAAGAATCAAGTAAAATGTGGTGGCCACGCTAAAAAAAGCTACCAGAACTGCATGCTACATTTTTACACAAAAGATGATAAGCACTCCTTTTGATTGGTCTCTTTCCTATAAATTTGCTTATGGCAAATTTATGGCAAAAGTTAGGTTCAAATGCAGTATCTTAATCATTTGATCTCCCTATTGATCTTGTTTCAGTTTTTTGTTTTTGTTTTTTTTAATTAAGGGGAAACACATGTGGAATTCTTTTTGCTTGGGGTTGTTCTTTTACTTTTTGTTTTTCTGGATATGAAATCCAGGATAAATAGATCTAGGGAGACAGTAATTGGATTAAGGGTTTCTTGGGGTTATGGCAGAGGAGGTTGGAGCAAAATGGTGAGGTGCTAACAATGAATACAAGAAAAAAGAGTTCTGGTGTTGATTGTGGTTGATGTTTGTACAACTCTTCTTAATATTAATGAACTATAGAATTGTATATGCGAACTATGTGCCAATAAAATAGTTTAAAAATTTTTTAGCTATATTCTAGAGAAAATGACTCTTCATTCAGGAAGCTTAAAGAGAGAAATCAGTAAATGAATGTGACTGTCAGCACTGTTTCTTTCTTCCGAGCACACAGGACTTCCCTGCCTCCTGTGCAGCTGTAGAGGCATGTGATTAAGTTCTGTCCAATGGCAAAGAGAGAACTAACAAAAGCCCTTATAATTGTGGTCCTTAAAAATATCTTGCATGTAACCATTGGATTATCTTGATTTCAGAGTCTGAAGATTAGGAGTAAGTAAAATTCCTAGAAAAAATACTTATTAAAACACTATGCCACTTTAATTCTACAGAACAGTCTAGAAGTGCCTCAGTGTTCATTACAATGAAATTTTACTTGTACATTCAATTTCATGGGAAACTACCCAACCCATAACAAAATTCATTAAGAGCAAAAATTATGAACACCCAATTCGTGGAGGGCAATGGGGGATGGTAGGAGTCCAAAACCCATCTGCAGAGCATCTAGTGAGGCTAAGCCACTGGCAGATCTGCTCAAGCCACAGGTCAGTTTCACATAGCCTTACTAACAGGCAAAGACCAGTGTAATCTTGATTACGCTGGATCGATCTTGATACTTGGCCAGCTGACCACCGTGTAGACAGGACCTGAACATGTTCTGGGGACAAGTCTCTCTTACTGGGCCCATGACAAATGTCTTCCCTAGCTTTTTGAATGTTGTTGGGGGTCTAGCCCTTCTTATGCATTATTTATATCTTTGTATACTATTATGTTTTTATCCTTACCACCTTAGCATAATTTTGGTTTTTATTGTTTTCTGTTGGGTCTCACAAATGTGAAGCACAGAGTGCATGCACAATGAGAATAACTGATTCAATGAGATTTAGGGAAACCAAGGGTGGAGGGGAAGATGATAGGGAGGGTACGGGGATCTCAGGAGTAATGGTGGAGATGGGAGGGTGCACTAGAATGGATTGTGACTGCATAACTCATCTTGGGGGTGATTTAACCATGGGAGAGGGTATGTTCTAAAACACCTGATGTGGGGTGACGGTACAATTCTCTTGAAATGATTGAACTACTGAATTATATGATATGTAAATCACTTGAAAAAGATACACCTTCAGCAATTTGAAGCTTACCTTATATTGGTCTTTGGGACCAAGTTTATTCCATGGTTCTGGGTTGTTCTTTCTGTCCCAACTAAACAGAACAGAGCATTACCTTGTTACAGTCTTAAGACATTGTTTAAAAGTGTTTCGTACTTTCTAAAAACTAGTATTTTAAACAAAATCAGTCTCATTTTCCATTAGGTAGAGAGCATGGTATTATTTCCATCATGGAATTAAAAGAGATAGGAACTATAATAAATACCATGTAGTCAATTAGGAAAGCTGGAACAGAGGGCCTCTAAGGGGCAAATGTTTTGGTTCCGGTCTTTGTAACAGGACACTGTGTCCCTAATCTTTTACTACAACTCTTATTTCATCAATAAAGTAAGATCTAGCCAAATGCACAAAATTACGAGAAATAAGCCCATCTCTCTTGGTCTCTTGTTTTCCAACTGCAAAAAAAGAGGCATTCCCTCTGGTGGAAAAGCAGGCAAAACAAAACCCCATTAGCCACATCATTATCCTAGCAGTGGGAGAAATGGAACACATGTTAAAAGATTTACAAAGGACAAGACCCTTGATTAGCATTTTATAAAAACAACTGTTATCTTAATCCTCACAACATTACAATGTAGTTATTAGTAGTTGTGCTTTGCCAAGACAATCAGGAAATGTATTAAAAAAACAACTTTCTGAACTTATTGCGTACAGATCTCAGGTTCTTTCTACTCCTTGAAGCCGTCTCCTACACCAGCTTGAAAAACCACCCATATTCAACCCATTTTTAAGTCTTTACCTGACATCTGGATTAAACAATGCCAGACGCAAGATATACAGTCCAGCTCCAGTAGCTCCAGCTCCAATAAACACAAAGAGAGGGATCAACTAGAACCAAGCACAAAATAGACAAAAATTAAGAGCTGGCTTCAGACGCCTAGATACTGGGCAAAGGAGGCTACAGCAGTTTCTAGATATTGATTCCTAAGCCTCAACTAGCTAATTTGTGATCTTTTCTTAGTAGCTTACTATAAAATTTCTTAAACTATGTTGAAAAGACACGGAATTCTGAAAACACGTGAAGGCAATTTTGGTTTGAAGTGTCTAATCTTTAACGCTGGGTAAATTTTATTTAAATCTTAAAAGCCCCCACCCCCACCCAATGTATCAAATCTTTTTGCCTATTTACACATAATTTCCATGAGAATTCAAAGTTTTATGTCTAGGATTGAAAATCGAGCCATGTGCCAATTATTTAAACTTGCCTGCATAAAGATGCTTAACAAAACGTCCCTGAAATAATAAGGAAACAGAAACACACCTATTACAATGACTGGTTTAAAACATATGCTCTGAGAACGTATTGCTTCTGAAGTCTACTGCTATTTACGGAACTGAGTTACGATTAAGCACTGTGTAAGTGGGTTTGAGAATGACCACACGCTCTTGTGCTGGGGGTGGTCGGATAGAACGAGATTCAAAAGGACTTGACCGCAATTAAATTCTGAGCTCCCAAACGCTCCAAATGTCAAGACTTCAAGGCAAACTGAAGAATCCAAATTGCCGGACCCATCTCTCATATTTGTTACGAGGCCTGTTGAGTACAAGGCCAGGAAGTGGAGGAAGGCAAACACGATACCAAACCTTCGCGGGTCACCAACCTACACGGAGCACACCTATCCCTCTAATTGCAAGAGAGTGAGATCAAACGACCAATCCAATATGCAGGAGTTCACTTTTCTCATCGGTGTCCCTAAACTTCGGCCTCGCAGCCAACCCTACAATGCCTGGAGTGGAAGTCAGCGGTCAAGTGTGCCTGTGTAAAGCGAAGGGCAGCCCAAAGCAAGCCAGGGTTCGGCCCCGACGACCGGTAAGTAGTTTTGAAAGAAGCTCCCAGGGGGCAGACAGACAGCTAACACCATCTGGACAAGTGGGGACACTAGTATTGGGGTCCTGAACTTACACTCGGGTGCTTCTTGGCCTGACCGAGGATCTGGCGCAGCATGTTTGCGGCTTTGGCCTCGGGTCCGGAAAGACAAGACAAATTTGGCAGACCCAGGAGCTAGGACTCTGCACGATGTTTTTGCGGGCGCCCAAAGTCACCCAGGACCTCCTACCTGAAGGACCCTTGGCTCCGAGGGCAACTTGCGGCAGGAGGGTCCGGATGCGGCTGCCCGTAGTAGTGCCTGATTTTTCTCGTCCCTCACGCATCTGCCCTAACCTGAATCGACCATCATTATTCCCTTTCACAACAAAACCTTCTTCAGTCCTAGACTCTGTATATTTCTGACAGGAACTTGGTTACGTCGAAACTAGGGCCTTTCTATTGGCACGTCAGGCAAATTCTCGGGAGGCCAGCGGTGAGGGATGGGTTGCGTGGGTGGGCCTCTAGCGCGGCGCCTGCAAATCAGGTCGCGCGCCGGTGCGCGGGTGACGCGCGTGCTCGGCGCGCGCTCGTCGGCCGTGTCGGCCGTGTCGGCCGCAGAGGGAGCTGCGCGGCGCCTCCGGTGGCTGAGCGCCAGGCGCCTGCAGGCTAGGTCGGGTCTCCGGCTGCAGAGGTCAGCCGCCTTAAAAAGACTGCAGCTGCTTCCTGTGCTAGGCTGTCATGAAAAACTAGTAAATGGTTGAAAGATGTCAACGGGCCTGCTAGTGTCTCTCGAAATCCCTTGCTTCTTGTCCCTCCCTTTGTATTCATCGCCACGAAAACCTGTGCGATAAGTCACTACGATCTCCTGCCCTTGGTTCCGAAGTTACATTCTTTAAAATGTCCCTTTCACGCCCCAATCCAATTGTTCACACATGAACTTTCTTTCATACGAAAGTCTTAACATCGGACTGGGTACCCTCTAGAATAAGGTTCTGGGCAGTCAACGGTAAACCGGTTCACCTGAACCTGGTCCCGCTTGAAGTAGTGATTAACTGCAACTGGCAGTAACCGGGAATAGGAAGAGTAGGAAAGACTGGAAGTACAGAAGAGTTACACGCAGGCTAGTTGGAACAGAAGAAGGAGTTAAGCGGGTGAAAAAGTAGGATGCAGGGGTCCAGGGCATGTTGTACCTGTGAAGGAGAAGTTGAGTGGGCTGGTAAAGCTGGAGCCAGAACAGAGCAAGCTAGGCGTTGGAGCTTCTGGACCATGAACACCTAAAAATCCTGCGTTTTATGCAACCAGTGTTGGGAATGCAAGATATCTTTTTGATGATTGCTTTATCTAATAAAGAATAACTCACCGTCATCGAGCCAATTCTGACAAAGTGACCCTATAGCACAGGGTAGAAAGCTTTCTCTTTCTCCAGTGCAGGTCTTGAAATGCAGACCAGTGGTTAACAATCCAACACATATGCCACCAGAGAGCATGACGTGGGGTCACTTAAAGGTCCATTATAAATTGTTCATATGACAGATAGTGGTACCTGGGATTAGAGTAGGAAATGTGATGAATCAGAAGAATCGGCAAGATGCACTGAGTGATTGTTGAGAGTGGGGAAGTGATAACAGGGAGGAGTCAAGGATAATTACAGAGGCTCACTGTAAACCAGCTGTGTGGATGTAGAAGCCATTGATTTAGACATGCATACCTATTCGAGTGGATTTCTGTGGCTTACAAAGGGATCTTCGATGGCGCTCGGCTATCAAAAGATATAGCATCTGGGGTCTTAAAGGCTTGAAGGTAAACAAGGGGCCATCTAGCTCAGAAGCAACAAAGCCCACATGGAAGAAGCACACCAGCCTGTGTGATCACGAGGTGTCGAA